TCAAGGTCCATGAGCACCGCGCGAGGCACGTAACGGCCGCCGCTGGCCTCGTTGTAATAAACATTGACCCTCTCCAACTGAATGTCGGTGTTACCGGTGTACTGCCCGGTGGGGTCTATGCCGTGCTCGTCGCACACAACCTCCCAGAACTTTGATCCTATTTGGTTCCCACATTGCCCTCCCTGGATGTGCAGAATCTCTCTCATTTTTCGCCGATGTGTAGGGGGTAAAACGGGGAAGATGCGTAAGATAAATACGTATAAAACTGCCCGCGACTCTGTTTCCTTGAAAGAAAGGGTTATTTTTGGAGGGAAGGGTAGGGGTAGTTACTTATAAGGAGGGAGGGAGGATGATCTAACGGTGGGGATATGGGTGATAACTGATATGGAAGTTGGGAGTTTGATCTGGACGGTTGAGGAGTGTCCGTCCGGCGACAGGTAGTGGGGGTAGTTAGTTAGTTATGGGACGTCAAAGGTGTTGCCATCTGTGGCTGTTTCAATAAGTATCGCCGGCTTAACAGGGCCATGTTTTTATTTATATATTATCTCCTAATTTTTTTTATTAAGTATTTTACAATGCACTCACAATATCAGAAAGATTACGACACCACAATAAGTCTACTAAGTGGCGGACCCAAGACTTGGTGGGTTTGTTGTCGTCAGTTAAATCATGTTTCGTACATATTAATAGATATTAACATATGTCGAAACAATCTGATGAATGATATCTAAAGAATTTGTCAAGTGTTGTCGACACAACTTATTCAGATATGCTTAGCAGGTATGACATCAAAAGTAAATACAAAAGTGACACATACAAAATATTAGGAGGGTCCTCAGAAGACCTTCTCAAGTATATTTCCGGACTCCGGGTGGTTCTGGGGCCACCTTGGTCCCATTTTGCATCCCGCTTTTGAATCTAGTTATAGGTACGTATTGAACTCTTCATAAATACATATTATTTCTTGAGGTACGTATTGAACTCATCATAATACATATTATTTCTCAAAGTGTCATTATTCATGTTAATCGAATTTAAAATCTCCTCTAACTAGTGAAACTATATACTACTAATCAAATTGGTCTTACTTTTAGAAGGCAAAAATATGCTCTTCTTTGTAGATAATCACATCGTCACTTACTAGGAGGAGGCTGAAGTCCCACAATGGCGTTTCTGTTGTTTCATTTTCCTTATGCGTAGACATTTTTTGTTGACTTTGACTTAACCAGCACTTGGGTTCTTCAGATGACCAAATGGGCCTCTTGGAAAGCAACCCAATTATTGCCCAAAGTACTTATTGGGTCAGGCTCTTTGTCCTTCATCCCTTTCTTTATCATCTCTTTTTTTTTTTTTTTTTTTTTTGAACAAAGGATGGTATCCACACTAAGAGGGATGAAATAAGCCTCACAATAGGCTAGCTATAATAATGTGGTTCAAATTTTTCTTTGACGAGAGTCAAACCTGAGATCTCTCACTTACTAGTGAAAATAAATATCATTGGACAGTAGTATTAAATAACAAAAAGTTAAAACTAATGTATATCACTCGGATGTATATATGTTAAAGTATCAATAATAACTCTCTTTCATTATGACAAATATATTTAATGTATTTTACCAACAAAAAAAAAATTATTGCTCTTTGTAACTTGCCCCAGTAACCGGTTTGGGACCACTGAAAAATGTATCTCAAAATCCAGACAATTTATTTTTTAAGTTCTTACTAGAAGTTAATATCAACAAAAATTCACTCAAACCGGATTTTATTTTGTTGTGAAAAAAAAAAAAAAAATTATTTAGTCATATAACTATAATCAAATAACCAAATAAACAAAACATTTACGGCAAATAATGAAAATTATTCACGATCAAATGTCCAAAAGATTTCTGATTTGAGCTAATTTTGCACGGATGGTCTTTTCTTTAGACTCTAAAATTGAACAATTCAAGTCGTGAGATTCCATTTTGGAGTGAACGAAATAAGTAATTAGCGTCTTATTTATAACAAATGTATTGCGGAGATTGGTTTCCAATTGAATCGTGGAGATTGGTGTAGCTGATGTAGGGTCGAGAACTAAGCAATTGTGGTTCAGTGAGTATAAATTGTAAACTCTCTCTCATTTTCTGTAATCTATTCAACTCAGATGATATCAACACAAGCTTACATTTAATTCCATGCCTTCATCTTCTTCTTCTATGTTCCTCTGTAATATAGATAGTTTCAGGCCATTCGTTATGTTCATTCGCATCTACAGCATAATGTTAACGAGAGAAGGTCAGTTAAGCACGAAATTCGCAACCAGCATATTGTTCCTATTTGGGTTGAGAAGGGTAATGAATAAAGGCATCGTATGTAAAGCTTATTTAGAGAAAGGAAGACTAACAAAGGCTGTAGCCAAATAATTTGAGCTTGAAGGCAATTAACTTGGCTGTACATGTTCAAAATAAAGGATCAATACTTAACCATTTGCCCTAATCACCAAGAGTCAACATGTTAAGGCACGGAGGAGGCTGGGCTGAGCTTCTGCGGTTATTTAAAAAAAAAAAATATTTGAATACATGGAAATGGATTTGGATCCTCTCCTGATCAAATTACACGGGGCGTTGGATTTTAATCCAACGGCTGCGATTATTATAACTTTTAGAGAGACCCTCTGTTTGCAGCCGTTGGATCAAAATCCAACAACCCGTGTGATTTGGTCAGGAGGCTCAGATTTCTGAGCTCAGGAAAGGATCCAAATCCCATGAAAATGAAATGGCTAACATAGTGGGGTCACCTTGCCACGCCATAAGATATAATGAATTATTTAACGAAGTTAAAGGAAGGAGTAGGTTGAGACAAAATGAATATTCGAGAGGTTAAATGATATATTTTGAGTTTCATGAGATTTCTCTAGCTAATGAAAGTATCTGAAATATCGACCCACCCAACAATTTCATCCGGATATTGGTAATAATTAGCATGTTAATACATACCTTTTCATTCAGATTTAGTGCTCATATATATTCTATCCAAAATACGCATGCAGCATGTATATATAAGGTAGGCCCTAGCTAGGGTTTGAACCAAGAAAAGGATAAAAAATGAATAATAATTAAACAATTATGGGTTTGAAACCCTAAAAGGGGCAGAGAGAGGTGCAGTATATATACGACTCACTCGAGAATTGAGTCATTCCATCATATAATAATGAGGTTTCAGGAAGGGCTGTAGGGCTGTGGCTTATATCTTGAAGATAAATACTGCAACTGATGAGGGAAGAGAAGCTGCCTGCATTTCTTTTTCCCCATGGCAGCAGAAATGGACCCTAGAAAAATTAAATGGAAGGAAGATGCCAAACGAGATAGACACAGTAATTTTGGTAATATGTCAAGGTGCAAATCTCATTCTATATAATACCATAATATATATGTATACATACACAAACATCATATCGCAGACTGTCCAAAAGGACAAACTATTCACGCACACATTTGGTTTTATATGGAATTGATAAGTATGCATCAATATCACATCACATAGATACAATTGAAATTTTGCAAGATGATTGGACAGTAGACAGTAGATGCCGACTGGATCAAATCTGTTGGGCAAGTGAAACATTAGGTTAATAACAAGAATGCAAGGTAAGACATCCGTACATTAAATCTGCAGAAGAGAGAGAGGTACGCAATATGTTGTTTGTCTCTGGTAACAGGTAAGTAAGTAATATCTAAGCATGGCATGACATGGGGAATGGTGTTGCATGCAATACGGTGTGGGGTGGAAGCATGGATGTGTCAACATACTATTTAAGCAAGATCTGGTTCCATGTTAGAGAGTTCAGAGTGATAAAAAAGCGATGCACTATTAGTAATCACACTAATAATCAGGTTAGTTAGGGTTTTATCTCAAAGTATCACAGTACATTTCGTATAGTAAAACAACTCATCACGTATGTTTTTTTTGTATCTGGTTTCTGACGTATAATTCTTACATTATTCAACATAACCAACGATGAACTAACAAGGTGCCAAAGTTTCAACATGATCTAATCTTATTTAGAGATTTTAGAAAGACGAACCAACTATGTACTATTGATAATCATTCTTATTAATTAGCCCATCAAGTTAGATTATTATTTAAAAATATCCCAATACAATAGTGTAATAAAATAAAATAAATTTAAATTCCTTGTATTTGTATGTTGTGTTTAGAGATTTTCGACCTGAGATTCTATTGGTTATTCAACATGATGGACCTTATAATATGTAATACGTATAGACAAGAGAAGAGTGTGAGATTAATTAAGGGGCAGAGAGAGAGGGCAGGCAAGGCAGGCAGGCAGGCAGTTCGGATTGAGAATAAGTGTGAAAGGCACGAGACGTGAAGAGAACAATAAATGAGAGGGGGTAAAGAAACAAGGGTGATGAGGCTTATGATAACCCTCATGATCGTCACGTCGTTTTTCAGTTCCTACTCCCGATGTCCCTCCCAGAATTCCACGCTTCCCTTTCCCTCCTCTTCCTTCCACACACTACTGACCTCCTGCTCCCCTCTCTCTCTCTCTCTTCCTCCCTCTCTCTGCTTTTTTTTTTCCTTTGTCCCCTTCCTTCTCCACATGACTCTCTCTCTCTCTCTCTCTCATACAAGACATGCAATGAAACGCTAGTCTCTGTATACTTACATAAAATGAGTTTATTACTATATAACATTTCAGTCTAACAATAAATTCTCACCTATAACGCTACAATGTCAGTAAACTCATATAAGTTGTTTTGCTTCAAGAATAGTTCTCTCATTCTAAATTAAAATAACAATAACGTATTGTGCAAAGGGCGCCTAGTCAACCTCATTTCTTGGCTCACTTTCTTGTTCTGTATTCAACCAACACCATAATACTCTTCTCTCTTTTTGAATTCCATATAATAGTGTGATATATAGCTAGTGATCAATCCCCATCTCTGAATGTCTGAAACTCAAAAGTTACATCACTACTATTTCAGCTCAACTAACCCATTTGCCAAAAAAAACCTCTCTCTCTCTCTCTCTCTCTCTCTCTCTCTCTCTCTCTCTCTCTCTAATATAGAGCATCAACATATACTAAATAAAACCCGCTCTACTATACCTATATGAGGCAGCTAGGCAGCACCCTATCTTAACCCCATCTCCCTATTATCTCCATGCCCCCCAACACTACTCTTGCACCATTCCAATCTCCCTTGCATTCTTCCACAACATTCCCATATTTCTAATTCCACTACCACCATCATATTCGACAACTCACATTACCTCAAATGGAAACAATTCACTTTTCATAAATCCTACTCCTCTTGTTCTTGTTTTTGTTATTATTGTAACCCTTTAGGCCATTACATACTGAGAGAGTGAGAGAGAGGGACAGTCACACAGAAACCCTAGCTTGACCAAAATGTGGATGATGGGTTACAATGACGGTGGCCATGGCGATTTCAACATGCCGGATTCTTTCAATGGACGGAAGCTCCGCCCTCTCGTTCCGAGGCCACTTCCATCTGTAAACAACACAGTTTCTTCAACCATCACAACTCCTCCTTGTCTAAACCGATCAGCAATTCATGGCTCTCACGATTTTTTTCCGCAGTATCACCAACTCGCCGGTATTATATATAAACTAGCTACCTTGCTACCGGAAGTAGTGGTCAACATTGACGGTTATTGAGGAGCTAATCTCACATAATCCTCTTCTATTTGTATAAGAAAAAGAAAAAACTACCTTGCTAGCTTATCTTTCTTTTTGATCTATTTCTGTCTTTTAATTTGTATTTAATTATCGTGTGTTTTTATGTACATACAGCTATGGCTGAACAAAACAAGAGATCGGAGTTTCTCAACACGCCCCAGGTTGTGGTGAGCTCAAGATGGAACCCTACGCCGGAGCAGTTGAGGGCTCTTGAAGAATTATACAGACGAGGGACTCGAACACCGTCCGCGGAGCAGATTCAGCACATCACCGCTCAGCTTCGGAAATATGGAAAGATAGAGGGGAAGAATGTGTTCTATTGGTTCCAAAACCACAAGGCCAGAGAAAGGCAGAAACGTCGCCGTCAAATGGAATCATCTGCCCTCTCTGCAGATCACGACCAGCCACTGCAAATATCAATGACGTCTGCAGATAATCAAAAGAAAGAAGAATCATTAGGTACTCATCATTAATCATGTAACTGAACTTACATACAATAATTATACTATTGTAAATTCACTGCTTTACTTTTATATGTTTGTTTTCGTTTCTCTTTTGAGAAAGAAAGTAGTTAATTACTTTGAGATGTTTATACATTAAAAAGTTTTGCGTGGCCTTTTCAGTTAATTCAAAGCTATTAGCACTCTAAAATAGTCATACTACACTCATCTCTTCTTTAAATTTATCATTGGAGAGGATTGCAAATGACATTTTGGGAGTGAAAATAAATACCAGTCTCAGTCCATTTGGTTCTTAATTTCTTGTTTACTAGGGATGCTCTTTTTCAATTAATTTATTTGTGTGTATATATATATATAGAGAATTATTATTGGCATTGCAAAAATCTCATTCTACACTCCAAACTTTCTATACATTTGTGAGAAGTGTAGAATGAAATTTTTGTAACGCCAATAACACTTTCCTCTCTATATATATACTTTGTGGTTTGGGAATTGAAAGATATGTACAAATGCAGGTTGTAAAGTCGTTTTTTTTTTTTTTTGTTTTTCTTTATGTCTGTATATTATAGGTGCAGGTAGGACAGAGTTTGAAGTTGAAGAGACCAAGAATTGGGCACCCTTTACAAACTGCAGTACTACTACTCTTGCTGAGGTCTATTTCAATTCTTCACTACTCTCAATCTTCATAACTTGCTTTTATCAATCAATCAATCAATCAGTTCATCTGTCTATCTCTCTTTCTTTCTTCATATATAGATTAGAGAGTACTAGGTAGGTAGCTATATATATGATCTACTTTATCTACTACGTACTAAGAATTCCTCAAATCAAAAGCCTCTAAAAAGTAGTCTCATAATGATTAGTAACTAAGATGCAATTAGACCAGAACTAGGTAATAATTTGCATATGATTATTTATAGAATATTCATTATTTGAAATCAATATGTGTATAATGGTACTAACTACTGAGAAAGATATGTACACACTTTGTATTGTATGTATAATTATAAGGAAGCAAGCTAGTAATAACAAAAGCTTTGTTTGTTGGGAAATGAAAAGGGTCTAAAAGCTGCATTCCTTCCTTTCTGTCGGGTCTGCTGTTATGAAACTTACCTAGGGTTTGGGGTCTTGTGCTTTGCTTATTCATGTCATTTGGTCACAGACCACACGGATTCTATGGAAATGACTAAATGAGCACCAAGATGGTTGTAAAATGACAATGCTAACCCTACCCAAACAATATGAACCCCCCCCCCAACAAAAAAAAAAACCCTAACTCTACAGTGTTTGAAAGGTTAGAATGAGATTGTCAAAATCCAACTACATAAATTCAGTTGTTCAACATACCGATGTATTATATTGTGGAATTTCAAAAATAAGGATATATCAACCTTGATTTGTTTTTATTTTGGCTTCAATGGTGGTTTCAGAACATTAGTTTGCATGCATGCTATGCCTTTAATGTATGTATTAAAAAAATATAATTTCAAATGGTATTTACATCGATCAACAGGAATCTGTTTCAATACAAAGGGCAGCAAAAGCAAGAATGGCAGCAGCGGAGTGCAGGGCGGATGGATGGATCCAATTCGACGAAGAAGAATTGCAGCAAAGAAGAAACTTTGTAGAAAGGAATGCCACGTGGCAGATGATGCAGTTGTCTTGTCCTTCTCACCCTCACCCTCCCACCCACCTCATAAACACCCCTCCTACTTGTGCTAGTACGACAACCAGATCTAGGGCAGCAGCTACAGGAAGAACAATGGACCAAAGTCTCATTAAGTCTCATGATCTCAGCATCTTTATAGCACCCTACGCATCAGAAACTGTTTTCAACATTGAGCAAGATCATGGATGTGAGGAATCTCAAACCCTTCAACTCTTTCCGCTTCGAAGCGGTCATGCCAATACCAATGAATTAAGCATTAGCGAAAAGGATCATGAGGAGCTATCGGCTAGCTTCAGTGCTCATCCTTACCCCTTTTTTGAGTTCCTTCCATTAAAGAATTAATTATAACTAATTATTATGAAACCACTTAATTAATTTGCTTTGTATGATCATGAATTAATGTAAGATGATGGTATTGTTACTGGGAGGCGTTTAGATTTTGTTATTTTGTTGGAAAATGGAGGACTGTTAGTTTTTTAATTAAGAAGTTGTTGATGTTACATTTCAGGGGGACTTGTATAAGCGCCATTGTATTGTATGAATGTGTGTGGATATCGAAGAAGGTTGCCTTAAAATGCATCTGGACCATGTTGGTTGAATTAATGCAAATTAACATTACAGCACATTGCAAGCTTCGACAAGAAAAAAAGTACATTGCAGAGGTTTAATGTCGATCTACACAGATAGACCTTGTTTAAGTAATAGCTGTGGATGTGTACGTGATTGAGAATAACTAACATCGCACAGGTGTATAGGAACGCCATGTATTAATAGTATAACAATACGTGTAAATTGTAATTTTTAGATGTATCATTAGTACGAAACATTAAAATAACAGTGTATTTGTGTAATGTGAGTTGTACATGATTGTATTTGTATTCATATATAAGAGAGAGAGAGAGAGAGAGAGAGAGAGAGAGATGCATATGCGTCCTCGACTGTAGGGATTCGAAATAACTGGATGACGGATGCATGGGAGAGAGTATGATGTTGATATGAGGAATCAGAGATCGAACTAATTAATTATTTCAGACGAGAGTGAAAGACCTTGATGTTGAAGTGACCAAGAATATAGGTTTGGGAGCAGTTTTGTTCTTTTGTTACAAAAATTAATATTTGCCTACTATTTTGAAAACTAATCCCGCATTTTCCCCTGACCAAAAGAAACAAAAAAAACAAAAAAACAAAAAAATTCAGAAAAGAAAAAAGACAAAAAACAAAATTTTAGAAGAAACCCTAGAGCTTTTCAAACCAAAACCTTCTAAGTTTACCTACACAATTGTCACTTAGTACTGTATTTATAAGTGAGAGCTCTTAGGTTTAGTTATCGCCAAAGAAAATTTTGAACCATAATTATTATGGGTAACTCATTGTGAGGCTTAACCCACTCCCCACTCCTTATTGTGAATAATATCGTGTATATTCAAAAAAAGAAAGAAAAAGTTTACATACACAATTTATTCATTTTTTTTTCTTGTCTATAATTTATATATCTAGCAATCAGTCCATGTATAAAAAGTAAATAAATCATGCATGAAATAATTAAGATATAAATAGAAAAATTTGGAAGAGTATTGTAAACAAAAGAGTGTTCATAAATCCCTCATATACCTAAGCTAATATTTTTTTGGAGGTGTCACTTAGTATTACGGTCTAATGGTATTTCTCTTCACTTGTATGTGAGAGGTCTTAGGTTTAATTCTCGCCAAAGACAAATTTGAACCACATTATTGCTAGCCTATTGTGAGGCTGAGCCCTTCTCCCTTTTAGCGTAGATAATATCGTTTGTTCAAAACAAAACAAAAAATTTTAGAGATGATACCTAAGCTAGCATTTAAAATGAAATAAAGTGGTCAAAATTTTGAATCTTTAGAAAGTAATGTGTGTAATTGTCTTCCCGCAGACCTTATCATATATGAAATCCTAGTCTTGATAAATTAATAGGAGCATATATACAACAATATTAAACAGGTAATGTGCCTAATCCCTCTAACCCTGACGCCTCTTGAAAACAAAAGGAAAAATTACAAGAAAAAAAGCTGATATGTAAGTCAGGATACACTAATTTGAAAATCAAAAGCCAAATAAGCTAAAGAAAATTCTGAATGGAGTGAAGCTAAACTACCGACGGAAGTGAATCATGCCACACCAAGGTTTAGGAAGTCAAGCTCATGTTTGCAAAGCTATCCGCAATTAAACACGAAGGCAAAGTTGGTTATGGTTTGTTTCATCAATCACCATCATGGATGGATGGATGAATGGATTGATGGATGGGTGGATAAATGATTTTCTTTCTGTGTATATATACGGCGCATGAAAACTTACCCCGATAGGTCAAAGGACTCACGAGGTCAGGTTTCTTGTGATGATCATGTACATATTGAGAATGTTGTTCCCTTCAGATCCAACCTGATCAGGGCAGAAACATTTATGTAATGGACAGAGATCCCAGCCGAATCTCACCCCACAGAATCTTAAGGATCCAAATATCCGGACCATTGAAATTTGATACAACGGCTACAAACAGGAGGTCATTCTAAAAGTGATAATAATTGTAACTGTTTGATCAAATTTTAAGGATCTGGATCTCTGGATTCTTAGGATTCGGTGGAAGAGATCCGGCTGGGATCTCTGTCCCTATGTAATGTTGTATTATTGGTTATCTGTCGGGGCTTGTGTAGGTTCAAAAGTTTAGATTAACATGAAATATAGAGATTAACCGTTGAGCTTTGCTCGTTTATGGTCAACGGACGTACGTACGTACTGTGTGGTCGTTGAAAAAAAACCCTAATAAAACTGTAAAAGTTTACGTCCTGGGGATGGGGGTAAACATCGATCAACTTCCAAAAAAGGACGTGTAAACTTAATTAATTACGGCTTTTAATTATTTACTACGATCAACAGCAGCAGCTGTGGGAATCCATTGAAAAATCCAAAGCAGGTTATAAATTCCAAGTGCTTTGTATCGCGTGTGACTCAGAGAAATTATGAAATAATTATTTGGCTAAAAAGTTGCCTTCTATCTGGATTTATTGAAACCTTCACAGCTCACCTTCAAGTTAACGAAATAGAAGGCAAGTTTTTAGCCAAATATAATTGTATGAGGCCGTGTCATAATATAAATGATCAATTTGTTTTTTTTTTTTTAATTTTCAAACAATTGTATTATTATACCGAGTCATGTTTTTGACACATTTAAAAATCTCTCCAACTGACATACATATGCAATAAACAGTGCTAATCTGTATATCAATAGGTCTAAATAACTCTAATACGCATTAAAGATCCCTAATCATAAATGAAACCAAATTACAACCCTACTTTTCTAGTAACATTTGACAACGAATGAACTTTTTGAAGGAAGTATTTAGATAGATGGAAGTTGCTATATATAAAAGTTGCTTGTATATATCTGGTATATTGTACTACGCGGTCCTATTTAAGTGTCTAAATTAAACCAATGAGAATTTGTTTATTTGAAAAAAAAAAAAAAATTGCATCCTTTTATTTCAAGGGAGTTGCTATCCACACACATTTTTTTATCTCTAGCATACTCCTTGTTAATTTATATCTTTTAATCCTCTTCTATTCTTTCGATCTAAAGATAGAAAATTGAAAGGTGTCTGACCATTACTTAGCACCCTCCAAGGTTTATCAAGATATTTAATCATTATAAGTAAAATTAGAGAGAGATCAACCAAGATAATAAACTAAGAGGGACAAGTAAAATGGGAGCTAATCATAAGGTACTTACTTTTTTAGTTTTGCTGGTATCTTGACAAGCTAGCTTTAGAAATTAGAAATTTTTAACAGGTGCAGACTTATAGCAGTAGTAGTACGTAGAATCTCATCGATGTGCTTTTGCTTGACAAAGAGAGAAAGATGGATGAGATATTTACATGCATAAATATATATATATATATATATATATATTAATAATATTTGGTTCCTCTTCCTCCTCGGCAATAAGCGTCGTCCTTTTTGAAAACAGGGTTAATTTCTTGCTCGCCATTTAGCTCCCTTTTCATTGTTTGACACCCTGTGTCGGTACTTTTTACAGTCTCTGCGCCTCATCGCTTAACCATTTGCAGACACATGAGATTTCTCACACATATATTTACATGCATTTCAGGTTCTCTCTTTCGTGCATGCAATGATCTGCTTCCTTTTTCTCTCATACCTTGAAATTAGGAGTGTATATAATGATACCCCTTTTGCAGTTTTCACAGTTTAGTGTTAGAAGGAGAAGGATTCTCTCCCCTCTTTTTTTCCCTTCCCTTCCCTCCCCTTCTATTTAAACGGTCGCGGTTAAGTCACGTCAACATCTTACATTAATTTGTTATAGAAAGAGAAAGACAAAATAGAGAGTGTGAGAAGAAGGGATGGAAAGGGATAGAAAAAGGAGGGAAGATAATCCTAGTCTGTTAGGCAAATGCAAGTGCAGCTTCACATTACTCTCTCATAAATATTTTTCTGTCCAGAGGGGGAGAGTGAGATTCCTATAAGAAACCAATTAATCCACAGTTTTAATATAATAAACTTTGAAATTCAACACAAGTATATGTATATATATATATATATGAAGCCTTTCAGGAAAGGAATCCCTTTTGTTTTTTTTTTTTTTTTCTAAAAATGGGGATTAGTTGTGGGCTCCACACCACATTGAACTTTAACGATCCGAACCGTCTATTTTCAAGTTGTACCTCATAGATCATCCTTGCAAAATATTAGCCTAATCGGAAATATTTAAGACATCTAATTGGGTTTAAAAAAATGAACGAATACTTTGTTATATAAAAAACAATGAAATTTGATCTTGATAATTAAATAGGCAAAGAGTTTCAGATTGAAATGAATTTTTGCAAGGATGATCTATGAATCGAGACTTACAAAATAGACAGTTTGAATTGTTGAAATTCAATGTGGAGTGGACTCCACACCTAATCCCCGTTTTTTTTCAAAAAATAAAGATCCCTTTGCATAAAGGGCCTGTATATAGAGTAAATATAGAATACCAACCAACTACTCTTTGGTTTAGCGATATATTTATAAAGAAACGTCGAATTATACTCATGCATGACAACGAAGATAATATTTACGATGAACCTGCATGTTACTTGAATATGTAAAATACTACGTGCATGGACCAAACAGGTCCACGATCCATTTACTCAAATTTATCTGCACAGTAGGACAAACTTATACTAACAATCATTCAACGAATATAACTAAGACCGTGTGTAATATGTGTATGTAGAAGACTCTCTGTCATTACATATTTTGCCGACACGTACCAAACCGTTCTACTTAACTCTCCTTTCGGACCTTTCCCTTCACGATAAAATGGCAATTTATCAAATGCATTGGTAGAGCTATCGACACAAAAGATTGTCCTTGATTTGGCAGTATATGCAGGCAAAGCTTTTTGCCCTATCTTGCATGCAC